CAGTATGTGATTGAAAAAAAATGCGTGAATTTTAAAATTAAAAAAATCATAAAGAAATCAATAGTAAAATCGAATTAAGACAGAATTATTTTGAAATTGAATATAAGGAACTGAAGGGTTGTTTAGAGTCTACAATACTTTATGACATGTTTAAGAAAGGCATATGACATTGTCAAAAATATCATACACCTTGGCTGGAGGACCTCTAGATTTTGAGAACCTAGGCTTCAACCTGCTGAGACTATAGTTAAATCCGGCACTGGTCATAGAGAGCAAGGTCTAGATTGTAGGGAGGTTTAAGGACAATTTTGATGCCCATCTATGTCAACAAAATTTTTATTGTATAGCGAGATTCCAAATTGACTTCACGTCCTGACTACATCCTGCAACCTCGTCAGCTGTATCATTTAGGGTGTGTTCAAAAAGCTGTTACAATCATTTCCATCAATCTGGAAGAATATAAATTAGCTATTCCACTTGTGAGGTCCCTCGTCCAAATCCCATATTCTCACGAGTAGATGGAAATGGGAGAGTGCTAGATTAAACAATTTGAGTAAAGCCGAGGATGATGAGGGGTGTTTAAAATTCCACAGTTGAGAATTCCTCCTCTAAAGAACATAAGATGTTATTGTTAAATACAGTATGTGATTGAAAAAAATGCGTGAATTTTAAAATTAAAAAAAAAATCTATAAAGAAATCAATGGTAAAATCGAGTTAAGACAGAATTAATCTGAAATTGAATATAAGGAACTGAAGGGTTGTTTAGAGTCTACAATGCTTTATGACAACATGTATAAGAAAGGCATATGACATTGTCAATAATATCATACACTTTGGCTGGAGGCACCCCTAGATTTTGAGGCTTGCTAAGCCGATAGGTAAAAGTGGAACTGTTTGTTACATATATTATTTCTATTCCTACCTTTTCCAAGTTTATTAGTGCCTATTAACGCAAATTATTTTAGCCAGCACGCCTTCTCCATATTTTTCTGCCGTCAGCTGCTTCAGTAATTGTACATTCACTGATATTCTCATGAGCCGGGGCCAGCTGAAGGTACTGGCAACTCGAGCAGTCGCCTGGAACGTCATCAAGGTCAAGGACGTAATAGTGCCACCATTCATGCGTTTGGGATCTTCCAAAAGTAAAGCTTATAAAAAAAAACTTTTTGTGGTCCATGACTCAAGACATATTAATTTTTTGGTCTATTTTGTCAATAGAAAATGAAGATAGGTATAGTAAGCGACATGAAAAGATTTGTAGATCTAAAGGCAAGAAAAATGATTTATGTTGAATAAGGAATATTTTCTTCAGCTGGTATTAAGTTGTATATTTTAATATACTCGTAATTCTACATTTTTCAGTTTTTTCTCCTTGCGAAAATTTAATGACCTACATATTCTAGCTTTTCTTATTAAGTTTCATGTTACTGTAGGTGTTTTTTTGGTTTCTTTTAAGTGCCAGAAATATTTAGATAGGGACGTCTGATTTCGGTATTTATTTATCCTAAATTTACATTGAGCACTATTTTGTAAAAATAAAAATATCAATAAGAACACCGGATTATATATATATATTACTGTTCTTTCTTTTTATTATAATATATACGTACGTGTGTGTGTGTGTGTGTGTGTGTGTGTGTGTGTGTGTGTGTGTGTGTGTGTGTGTGTGTGTGTGTGTGTGTGTGTGTGTGTGTGTGTGTGATGTATATGTATTATTAACTTTTCATGATTTCGTTTTAATTTTTTTTACATCATTAAGAACTTTAAGGAAAAGTGTTACGATATATAGGAGGATATCTGACGCCAGGAAGCAGGGTCGTCTCAAGGTACTTAGGCCGTGCCATCATCCAGGCCGTCATGTCATGTGTTTGGGATCTTTCAAAATTGAAGCATATAAAAACATACACGAAGCCGTACATGAGTCAAGATAGATTAAATTTTTGGCTATTTTGTTAATAGAAAATGATGTTCTACAAATTCACATGCAGATAGTGTGTAACAGACAGAATTAGCTATACTTTTATAATATTGATTATTAAAAGAAATTACAAAATTCTCCTCAGACGAGACCCTTCGGCATAGCTTCGTCCGGGTTCCTCTCTGCCCAAAGGCAGAGAGTTCGACATCACAGCTGGAACAGATTGCAGCTGGTGTGTCTAGCAACTGACCCACGCAGTCACATGTGGCACAAGGCCGAATTTAATATGGGGTTCTCGGGCCCGTAGGCTCGACCAAAAAATCCCTGTAGACCCCGAATAAACGGGATCGGGTTTGTCTACCTTCTTACTATCTATAGTGTAGTCACTCATGGGGGTGACAGGTTATTCCATTACATCAGAAAATATATCCAGTTTAAATACAGGAGTCATAAGTTCAAAGAAACGAACCGGCTTATAATCTTTTCTTGTTACTCAAAAGTTATTGCCAGACAAAAACAGAAATTACCTCTTCGTTTTATGGTTTTATTTTATGTGCTGTTCAGACTGATTGAGAGAGGAATATATTATTCCAATGTCTTACATATAAGCAAGGTCGGCTCAAGGTACAGGCAACTCGGGCAGCTACCCGTGGCACCATCCAGATCGAGGCCGCGGTTATACTGCCATGTCATATTTTGGATCTTCCAAAATTAAAGCTGATATAAAAAAAACATACTTGCGGTCGTCCATGACCCAAGACAATTCTTTGGTTATTTTTGTAAATAGAAAATGACCTTGTAAATAAGATAAGTGTAGAACATGCTGTGAAAAGATTTGTAGACCTAAAGGCTAGAAAAGATCTTTTAGGTAGGATAATAAATATTTTCTTGAGCTTGTATTAAGTTGTATTTTGTAATAAACACGTTATTCTACATTTTCAGTTTTTCTTGTGGAAATTTAAAAAAATATATACTTGTAAGGGCGCTGAAGTTCAGCTTGCCCGGGGTGCCAGCAACCCCGGCGGCCGGTCATACCAGGAGGATATGAGTTAAGCAAGTTCTTTTCATCTAATATAGAACCGACATTATGAGAAGTGCTTTATTCGGATAATACATACCTATATATCCGAAAATAAGTGCCACTGCATTTGACAAAACATCATTTCGGTGGTCCATTGCCAAGGCTTGAACTGTCGAACTGGAGACACGACGACACAACAGATACAGTATCAGTTTAATAACTAAAGTAAAAAATTAAACGAAAAAATATCATGATATTTTTTTTTATATCATTCAGAATTTTAAGGAAAAGTGTCACGATATATAGGGTGATATATGACGCCAGGAATCAGGACCGACTCAAAGTACTGAAGCCGTGGTATCATCCAGGCCGAGGGCGCGATGATGCCGCCATGTCATGTGTTTGTGATCTTCTCAAATTGAAGCATATCAAAACATACTCGTAGCCGTCCATGAATCAAGATAGATTAAATTTTTTGGCTATTTTGTCAATAGAAAATGATCTTCTAAAGAAGATAGGTTTAGAAAGTGCCATGAAAAGATTTGTAGATTTAAAGGCTAGGAGAATGATTTAGGTAGGATAATGAAGGTTTTCTGGAACTTGTATTAAGTTGTATATTTTAATATACTCGTAATTCTACATTTTCAGTTTTTTCTCCTTGTGAAAATTTTTAAAAAATATACTTGTAAGGGCATCGAAGTTCAGTTTATCCGGGTTGCCAGAAATCCTAGGGCCACCACTGTAGCACATACATAATACAGTGTAACCCGGATATAAGAGACCCGGATATTAGAGAAACCCGGATATAAGAGAGATTTTCTCTGGTCCCAAATTAGAGCGTGTGTTAATGTATATAAAATAGACCAAACCCGGATATAAGAGAAACCCAGATATAAGAGACTTCTTCTCCGGTCCCGACAACTCTCTTACATCCGGGTTACACTGTATATGTGCATTCAAATTCACATGGAGATAGTGTGTAACAAACAGAATTAGCTATACTTTTATAATATTGATTATTAACCCTAGAACACTAACCATCAATTAAAGTTACACCACTACTAACCATGGGTATATCATACCCGATTTTGAAAATATCAAAAGTAATATTAAATATAAATCTTTATTTGAAATATTTTACATGCAGGCATTTCAAACTTTGTACTTTGAGTTAACATTAATAGGAACTGAAAAACATATTATTGAGGTAAGAAAATCAGTTACTGAAAATTGCAATTAAAAATAGGAAAATTTGCGTTGGGTACTATATACCCATGGTATACATCAGAAAATATATCCAGTTTAAATACAGGAGTCATTAGTTCTAGGTCTAATGGCAATGGTGTCTTCATCTAGCTAATGTATTACCATTATGTGGGAGGTATTTCTGAGGGGTATATATGGGACCTATGTCTGTCGCACACTATATATTTAGAGGCATTTACAAAGTTTTAAATAATAGGTTGCCTACTTTTAGCAGGTGACAACTTTTAATAATTCTAATAAATAAATGTTTACAAAAACGCTTAGAGTTAGGTTACTTCCGGTTTATGCGGTGTCGGTGTAAAAAGATGTCCCTTTTAAAAGTTTGCTCGGAAACAATTTCGGCTTGAAACTGGATTGTGGCGACTTCGATTGACCTCGCAACATATTCTCTGATCATCCGTAAGTCAAGGTACCCTATCCGAGTAAATGAGTCATTTTCAGCTCGTAGAGTCCAGTTGTTTATCCAATGGCTCGCCGGCGTTTCGTCCGTGGAGAATTCGTTATAGGCTTGAAAATAATTAACTACTCGCAATGCCACGAGGACGCTTTTGAAAACTGCCTGAATATTAAAGAATACGGCCTACAGTTCTGTTGACTAGACAGTGGTATATCTCATGTTAAGCCTTCATTGTGAAAGCATAAGACGAGGCGGAAGAAACAGGAGATAACATACGAGAAATTGTCAATTTAAGAGCGTCTCTACAAACATCTTATGGTCACATCACAACATCTTATGGTCACATCACAACAGCTTATGGTCACATCACAACATCTTATGGTCACATCACAACAGCTTACGGCCATATCAGGTTGAAAAACCGGTTCCCGTACGATCACGGAAGGTAAGCAACGTCGAGCCTAGTCAATACCTAGATGGGTAACCGCTTGTGAATACCAGGTGCTGTAAGCTTTGCTGTGTGGGTGGTGTAATGGATAATGGCTCGGAATTTGAAATCGGAGAGCCGGGTTCCAATTCTAGAAGGGCTCGTTAAATTCGCTTAAGCACAAATACCCTTGAAAAAGGCATGAAACCACCTCTTCTCTACTTTAGTAAGAATTGTATCACTAAATTATTATTATCTAAAAATATTTTCATTTTTATGAAATAACCTGATACACGAAAATTTAATTTTTAATTCTTTGAAATTATTACGCGCTGCCTTTATTGAGATTCGAACCATTATTATTTTGTTTATACTAAGAAAGTACTTTCTACTATTGAGCTAGTTTATTATCCTTTATATATAAACAATCCTCACTTAGTATTTTGAAGATTAAACACTGGACTGATTGTCTAATTGATTCGTTTTTACGGCTTATCAACCCTTTTCAGTTTATTTAAAGCCAGAAAATATTTTTAGATTATAACAATTTCTTTTTTAGATAATAAGGGTCTAGTCCGAGGAACGTTATAAAAGCCAAGGCAAACGTGCCTTTACCTTGATAAAGTTTGCGGGGAAAGAGGTGGATTCATACATTTCCTCGGGGTATTTGCGCAGAAGTGAATATAACGAGCCCAACGGGCATTGGAACTCGGCTCTCCGATTAAAAATTCCAAGTCATTATCCATTACACCACGCGCACATCCAAGCTCACAACACCTGGTATTCTTGAGTGGTCACCCATCTAGTTACTAACCAGGATCGACTTTGCTTAACTTCGATAATCCGAAGAGAAACTGTGTTTCAACGTGATATGGCTGTAAGCCGAATCACAGGAATGCTTTGCTTCCAACATTGCATATCAAGCTTTTACTGATGAAGCAGTTTGTAAAAGCCTGCACCAGGATGGTGACTGTTTCAAATATTTAAGCGGAATATATATATATATATATATATATATATATATATATATATATAGGTATATTTATATTATTACTGGAAGATGCAATGGAAGTGTAAGGGTTTGGTTTGTTTTATTTTACGGTATATCAACCTCAATGGGTTATTTAATACCGACAAGATTTTTATTGCTGGTAATATATTTTTTTAAAATGTATACCTGGTAATATATTTTTTTAAAAGTATTTCTGGTATTAAAACCTATTATTACACTTTCATAGGGTTTTGACCCCAGTTTGGGGTTAGCTATTTATCCATAGCTGGAACCCTAACCGGTGCTACCACCCCCGGTCAGAGTGAACCCTGGAATACCAGCAATTAAGAGGTGGTTCCACGCTTCTGAAAAACTCCTGATCAGTGGCCTTGCTGTCAGATGTAGTTTATCGTCTTACCCAGGAGGCGGATGTAGTTTATCATCATACCCAGGACGCGGACGTAGTTTACCGTCTTACCCAGGACGCGGATGTAGTTTATCGTCATACCCAGGACGGGAAAGTGTAACGAATAAAGACATACAGACAGAAAGAAAAGGAATGTTTATAATTTAAGTACAAATGACATTGGTGTCTTTTATCTACACATATGTAGATTCGATATTGAATGCTGCAACGGAAGCGTAACGTACAGATGCAGAAACGAAGGAAGGACAAAAAGTATATTTTGCAAATAAACCATTTTTTGTACATTCATTTTGTCTTTGTTTTATGTTTTATTCATTACTTGTGAATTATGGTACAATGGTCAAAAGCTAAATTAATTACGACTGAGCAGTGAGTTGCATCATCACTGAGTGCTCCATACTTTCAGCCTTGTGCCACATCTAAGCTACACTTATTTAGGAGTGCTTCGATGTGGTGTAATAGTTAACAAGCTTGCCTAGTTAGATCAATTACGACTGAGTAGTGAATTCTATTATCAGTGGGCGCTTCATACTTTCGGCCTTGTGCCATCTCTAAGCTTCGCAGAGTTGCAGCACTTCGAACTGGTACAAAGGATAGCAAGCTTGTCTCACCAGATCAATTACGACTGATTAGTGAGTTTGATTCTCACTGGGTGCAGTGGTTATAAGCTAGTATAATTACGACTGTGTAGTGAGTTGCATCACCACTGCGTGCTCCATATTTTCAGCCTTGTACCACATCTAAGCTACCCTTATTTAGGACTGCTTCGATGTGGTGTAATGGTTAACAAGCTTGCCTAGTTAGATCAATTACGACTGAGTAGTGAGTTCTATTATCAGTGGGTGCTTCACACTTTCGGCCTTGTGCCATCTCTAAGCTTCGCAGAGTTGGAGCACTTCGAACTGGTACAAAAGTTAGCAAGCTTGTCTCAAAAGATCAATTACTGATTAGTGAGTTTGATTCTCACTGGGTGCTCCATAATTTTGTGTTACTTATAAGCTTTGTTATTTATTAGCTCTTTGATGTGGTGTAATATTTATCAAGCTTGCCCCTGCGTAGTGAGTTCGATCCTCACTGGCAGTCCCATACTTTCTGTCACAAGCTTCACTTACGGGCATTTCAACGTGGGCTAATGTTTAAGAAGCTAGTCTTGCTAGATCAATTCCAACCAAATAGTGAATTTGGTTCTCACTGGGTATACCATACTTTCGGTCTTGCTCCACATCTAAGGTCCGCTTAGAAAACCACTACCATTACTGTAAGATTTTCTTTTTAAGAAAAGAAAGTAAATTACTTTTTGTTATGGTAATATGGCGCCTGATCACTTCGAGTGGCGCTGAGCATACCTCATATTACTATGGAGCTTTTCTACGTGTAGCTTAGATGTGTTACATGGCTCAAAGTATCTGGTACCCAGTGAGGATCGAACTCACCATTCAGTCGTAATTTATCTAGCGAAACAGGTATGCTAACCACGACACTGCGTCGAAGTGAGCAATGCCTCGTATTAATATGCAAAGGAAACAAAACAATTTCTGGAATAATGACATTATTTTATCTCAAAGTTTCAAAGAATTTGAATATTATTCAAATTAGATTTTATTTTTGTTGTGGAGACTTCCTTCTAATGAGCCTATTGTGGACTCTTCCACTTACTATAAAGGACTAGGAAAGTAAGCCTCTTTGTTAGCAGTGCCATAACCTGTTCAACTGTCGAACTCTCTGTCTTTGGCAGACAGGAACCCGAACGAGGTTTTGCCGAAGGACAAAGTTTCGTACAGGGAGGTAGACAGACCCTGAACCCATTTATGCGGGTTCTAAAGGAATATTTTGGGCCAAGCTTACGAGAACCCACGGTTAACATCACATACATCCCTCGTGGGGGGGCTGTTAAATATTAACAGTGATATAGACTGAACGTTGGTCAACCGACACACACTCCCAAGTCGTGTAACACACTTCTGTTGTATTTACTGTTTAATACACTATTTATCTATAACCTCTTGTTTTGTTATTCCTTAACCAATTACTTTGTCGCAACAATTTTTGAAACATAACTCCAAACTGACATCATCGTCTGTTTTCGGATATTTAATACGAGGCGAAGTTGAGGTAAAATATAAAATATGGATGTAAACGAAATAATTAGATATTAGCAACTGTATATCTATGCGTTAGCGTGCATACAGAGGTAAGAGAATAAATATTTACTTAATTTAATATAAAGTGTAAATAAAATAGTGCTCGATGTGGTTAGAGAGAGCTAAAAAGTAACTAAGTAAAGATAATGGCGAGACAAAATTTTATTTCGGTTTCACAGCCAACTACTGGAAAACACAACATTACCACCATAAAATGACTCTTAACAATAAGTAATATGCAAATGCCACGACACTCTCAAAATTCTACTAAGATATTAAAACAGATGACTATACACCGGTAGTAAATTGAAATTTCGTCGCCAAATCGACATCCTTTTTCCGGCTGCGGCGATCGATGCAACCTGTGTTTGCTGGAAAAACAGATTCATCGTCAAAAATATTAATGACCAAAATCTACTTAACAAACGAAATGAACACATGACAACTTGTAATCACAGAAAAAAAAACTGTCTTAAAATATTTTAATTCTGGATAGATAAATTATCCAAATATAACATGCCCTTTACATATTTTAGGTTATATATTGATACCAACCCCCACTTTAAGTATTTTAACGTCTATTAATACTTAACTTCCAGGGCGTTCCCCATTTAAACTTTAAATTTTGAATTTACACCCCAATAATATATTAAGTTCATATTAAATTCAAGCTTTGAAGTTGCGTTTAATTTAGCGTTCCACACATGATCGTAATAGTTCGTGCTTGACGAGTTGGTAAAACAACTAAACTTTAAGTTGCACTACGAACATAGGTATATGTATCTTTATTAATATATATATATATATATATATACAGGGAGTTACAAAATGCAACAAAACATATGTGGGGTTTGTGACATCATAAAAGAAAAACTTTTGAAAACCCCAAAACAACATTCATAATAAATAAAAACTTAAACTGCAACTCCAAAAATGTGATTTATGTACTCAAATGCACAAAATGCAAGAAGTCATATATAGGTATCAGCCAACAACTGAACAACAGGGTCTCCCTAAACAAAAGCAACATAAATTTACCAGACAACAGAAAACTTTTTGTATCACAACACATCTTCAAATGTAACCAGGGAAAATTTAAAATGACGCCAATATATCAAACAAACAATTATTCTTACCTACAAATACAAGAAAAAAACTTCATAAACAAATTTAAACCAGTACTAAATAGATCATAACCCCACACGCAAAAGCACACAACATGCACACATGCGGGTGTTTGTGGAGCACGAATGTATATATATATATATATATATATATATATAATGACAAAATCAGGAGAACTACTCACAGGTACGCGCACAAACCCCACACAACTTAGGAAGTATGTGTGTATGTCTGTACATACATATGTGTGTATGTATGTGTGTGTATGTATACTGATTCCATGTAACTTTGGAAGTATGTGTATGTATATATGTGTGTATGTGTGTGTGTGTATATATTCTGATTCCTTGTAATGGGATGGTATGAGTGTGTGTTTGTGTGTTTGTGTATGTGTGTGTAT